AGGCCTCCAACTGGAAGTTTGTCTGCAGGCTTTGCCTTGTCTATGTCTCCCTGCAAAGGACCCGTGATCAGTGGGGTTAGGGCAGTGAGAGCCAGCCGGGTATGGAGCTGGGAGCGGGGGGTTTAAAGATCAAATGAGACGCTCCAGTCCAGGGAGAGCGCGGCTGGGCCCCATGCCATGAACGCTGTGTGGCAAGCGGCCTGGTTACAAGGCTGCTTTGTACCGCAGGTGGGATGTTTCTACTAGCCTAAACCCTCCAGGGCTCTCTTCCCCCCGCCCCCCATCGATTCCCAATTTTCTCATCTCCAGGCTTTTCTTTGTTCTCCTTTTGCTTCTCCATGAGCCTCTAGTTTTCAGCCTCTTTGTTGGTCTGCAGAACTTGAAGCCAGAAGAGGCAGTGAGGCGATCTGGTCTGACCACCTGCACGGCGCAAGGCAGAACCTTTCCCGGGGAGTTACAGAAGGAAGAGGCTGCAGTGGCAGGGCTGAGGAGCTCGGGGTTACCAGAAGTTGGGTTCAAACCTGCAGAGACTCATGCTGCTTGTTGGGACTTGGGTCCAGTGCCAGAGCTGCTCAGTGGTCTTGGCTCTGCGGTGATGGCCTTCCCTTATTCTTCAACAGGCGTGCAACCCTCCCTTTCTTCCTTCCAGTCTTCTTACCCAGCTCTCTTGGGCAGAGTTTCAGTTCAGCCCCCTAAGGGCTTTATGACCTTGTGTCTTTCAATAGCCGTAGAGGGAAGAAGCTGATTACGAACGCTGATTCAGGAGTCTTAATAGCAGAGGATGTCAGGTTTTGCAACCACATGCTTTCAACCGGGCACAATGTTACTGTATTGCGCTGTATTTCAAAGCCATCTTTCCCTCCCACATCACCTCCCCTCTTGCCTAGGTTCAGCAGTGGTGTTAAAGTCCCACCTAAGGTAGGGGATGAAATGGCGTAGCAGCCAAGTGCCTGATTTCATCAGTGCCTGTGGCTTTGCTCTTAAACGCAGCTTGCTGCTCTGGATGTCCTTCAAGGAGGGGCCTTATGAGTTTTGAAGGGCTTGTACTGGCTACACTGCCAGGCTGACGGTGGGTTTCTGGATCCCATCCTGAGCCGTAAGAGAACTGTTCAAACTCTCTTCTGATGCTTTGAATGGGGCTTGCTTCCATGTTTGTCTCTGGCTATCATCTAAACCTGGCTGATCTTCAAGATAAGAGCACGACTTTTGCTTGGGGTCCCTCTGCTGGCTGCTGCATACCAGAGCCGCCGTCTCCATATCATTTTCCAAGGAATGTTTCGGATTCTCTGGATGGCGTGCCATTCTTTGCCTCTTCTGTGCAAAAAAAGCCATCGAGCCTCATAACACTTGCTTTTACATTCCCCCTCCAACTATTGTTGTTGTTTTAAGCAGAATTTTTAAAAAGCCAGCTACTGTGACTGTAGAGGTTGGATCCTGTCGGGCTATCGTAGCTTTAACCTGTTCAGTTTCTTGATTCTCAGGTAAATTAACCTCAGACTATTTTAGCTTGGTGCAAATTGGCTTAAGCTTAAGCTCACCTAGGGTTTGCATCACTAACTTGGGGGGGGGGTATGTTTGGTGTAACTCAGTATGGAGAAGACTGGCGATCTCTTATTGGATCATTCAGGAAAGTTGGGGACAGTCAGCATCTCTGACAATTAAGGCACTCCCTCCTCTCTTAAAAAAAGAAAAAAAGCGACAGAAGGAAGAAGTTTTTTTCTGGATCTCTGGGATGGATGGAGCATCTGAGAAGGCCCAACTGTATGCAGCTAGCCCTTGCATTACTGGACCCCTATTTAAAACGAGGGGGGTAGTGATTACGTGTGCCAAAATAGCTGACTGGTCAGAATATTTGGGAACTGAGGCAAGATTCATAAGCTGCCACAGCAGATCCGGGGAGGGGGAAGGGCTGCTCTGAAAATGGTGTGTAAATGAGAACCTGAGCATGGATGGATGGTCTGTTGTGGCTCTCCCTTCCTTTTATAGTTCTAAGTGGTTCTCAACCTTTTTTAGACTCAAGGCATGGCTCTAACCTGGGAATCGAGTAGCACCCAGGTTTATGTATTATAGTGCTTATCTCCTTACAGAGGGGTCCAGGCAGTGGCCTTGGGGGATCAGCTAAGCAGGGACCAACCTGAGCTTGCATCTTATCTGCTTATTTCCTCACTTCCCTTACCACCTTGGCATGCCCTCAAAAGGATCTGGTGGCACTCTGGTTGAGAATCACTATCCCAGAGAGGTTGTCCACCGCCTTTGACCTTTATCTCTATGTCAAGCAGATGTGAAAAGCCGTCACATTGCTTGCCTAAGTTTTGTACCCATTGTACCAGTGTATGTGATGATGTAGGTTGTAGAACATTAGGCCTCTGATGTTTTCATCTTTGCTGTTAAGAGCCGGCTGCTGTATCCTGAGCATTTTAGAAATTGGGCCTTTGGGCAGCAGAGCCAGCTGAAAGGCGGATATGGACCTTCTAATAGAAAATATTTTGTTGCCTGGGACGCTGCACCTGCTGACTTTGGTTGCACCCTGTTTCTTTTCCCCATGGGAGCACCCAATGGACCAGGTGCTTGGTCTTGGGAAGCACCTGGAACTGAAGCGGTTTTAGAGCCTCTAGTGAACTCCTTTGCCCCAGAAACAGGGTTTGGCAGTAGTAGATCCACCCTGGCTACATGGTATGCTTCAGATAAGATTGGGGGTCCCTTAGGCTATAAGGTAGTCTCATATGTAGCAGCCTGGGGTTGGGCGGCTGCTGTCAGTGCATTGGTTGTGGTTTAGTGCAGAGGTAAGGGTTAGTTTTGGGGTATGTTGTTGGGCAGAGTTAGCTAATGCATCACTGTCACATTTTTGCACCCCAGCTTCTCACTAGAATCTTGGTGGTGCTGTAAACGAGTTAACTCGTTTAACTGAGAGCATTGTCTAGAGCAGTGTTTTTCAACCCATGGGTCACGACCAAAAAGTGGTCACAAGAATATACGAAAGGGTCACAAACTTCAAAAATGGATTCTCCTTTAAAGGAGAAAATCATGGGAAACAGTGGCTTTTTCATTGCAGGCTGTCGAGAGTTACAGCCTGTGAGGGGCTGCTTGGGGGCCTCCATACCTTATACACACCCTTCTGCCCCACATGCTTACTCCCTGCCCCACATACTGGGGGGTAGTATGTCAGGAGCAAGGGGCACTGGGTTGGGACTGTTCATCATTTTTTTACAAATGGGTCCTGGTGCAAAAAAGGTTGAAAACCACTGGTCTAGAGTTCAGAATCTGGTTTCATTTGGGCTGGTTAGTTTTCCCACAGTTCCCTGGGTCCTGCAGCTCTGGTAAGGCTGCAGTAACTTGAGCTGGGCTTGGCAGTGTAGCTGCTCACACCCAGGGTTGGCTAAGCTACGTGCTGATCACCCATGCTATTTGCACATGTTTGTAGGCAAAGTGCAAATCAATGCATGCTTAGGGCTGGTCTTTTCTGGCAAGGGAACACTTAACAGCTATGTACTTCCTAACAGTCATAGGAAGTGTATGTGGTGGGGAGATGCTGATGAGCCAGCTCCCCAGCCCGTATCAATGGGTGTATCTCACTGGGAGCTTGTCTGTGGCTCCTGTGGAGCTGCCTCCAATCTCTTCTTTACTTGTCCCCTCCAACCTGGAGCAGGGCAGGATCCAAAGTAGTGGTGGAAGGGGAGGGCCTTGAGGAAGGTATTGTGCAGTGGGGAGGAGGATGGCGTTAACAGGCTGGCCGGAGAGTCGAGACTTGGCGCACACCATGTCTCAGTCCAATCTTCCTATGGGAGCTTGGCCCTAGATAGCATGGCTTATGCAAACTTGTTGCTTTGGTTTTTGAAAGCGTGTACTAGCTGCAATTTTAGCTTAGATCACTGAGTTTGTTAAATGTTGGGAATTCAGGGATTGAATTCAAAGAGTAGTCCTGGGCTTGGTACGGAAATTGAGGTGAGGTTCTGCAGCTAGTCTGCCAGAGGTAGTCTTAAATCAGAGGTTCTCAGCCTTCTCTGTACTAGCAGAGTTTACCCATTTGTAAACATTGGCCAGTCCCGACGCAGGAAATAGTTTTAAGTAGAAACCGGTCCTCTGGCGCTGCCAGTGCCCCTCACTCCCAGCTGCAGTGTGTGGGGCAGGGCCCCCCCAGGCAGTCCCTCACAGGCTGGAATTTGCTAGCCTGCAAGGGAAAGCCCATGGTTCCCCAAGTTTTCTCCTTTTAAAGAAGTATCCATTTTTAGTTTGTTTGCAACAGTTTCATATGTTCTTGCAACCCCCTTTTGAGCCCTGACCCAGGGGTTGAAGATTATCATGGCTCCATTCTGGCTTTGGACCCCGTTGAGCCAGGAAGTTATCAAGGCGGGTGTGACTAAATGTCCCTAGGGCTTGGGGAGCCTGTTGAAATTAAGCTAACTGGTGCCAGGAAAAACAAACTGTTGTTGATGGAGGCTCCAAATACTGCAAAGACTAAGTGGGTTCAGAAAGAGGATGGTGGTGAAGATAAAGTAGTACTTCTACTAGAAAAAATTAAAAAAAAAATAGGCAGAATCTGCACTTGTTATCACTTTCCTCTACCCAGCCTTGAGCAACTTCTCCTGTAAAATGGAGGCTGTTCATCCCTGCCTGGTATGGGGTGAGTGAGGATTAAATTACCCATTTAATGATTGTGGGCAGCTCTGGTACATGGGTGAGGAGGGTCTCTGTCCTGTGGTGGATAGGGCAGGTGGGTGGGAAGTGTTGTCATTGCTGGGGAGAAAGAGGCATCAAACTGGCTTCTGCCTGTCTTGGTGACTCCATCCCTGGGACAGGCTATGTAGCAGGGGCGGGCCAGATGCGGCCCACCAGGTCATTCCATTCAGCCTGCAGGGTCCCTAAAAATTTGGAAAATTAATATATATCTGCCCCTAGTTGCCTGTCATGCGGCCCTTGTTGGCTTGCCAAAACTCAGTAAGTGGCCCTCCAGCTGAAATAATTGCCTGCCCTTGCTATATAGAATAGGTGGCTCTGCCTCTAATCCATTATCTTAGAGGACACTTGCCTAGGGTGGAATGAGAAGCTGACCCTAGGGAGTGGGGATGTATGTGGTGGTGTTATGGGGAAGGGGAGGTTATGCCTCAAAGACACAGAATTTGAGTCTGTCTGCTTTTTAAAAGTTACTGTATTTATCAAACCTCCTTTATATGGTTCAGCTCTCATCTCAGGCCTGACCTGCATCACTGGCCCCTTTCTTCCTACACCTCCTTTCCCCCCAGTGTTGCTGTTCAAGTTTCACTCTCCCTGCAGAAGTTGGCTTCGACATCATAGCAGGCTATGTGAGGAAGACAGACAGGGCTATGTGAAAGAGGTGGGTGTTGCACACTCCTTGCAAACTACCAGGCAGTGGGATGTGTAGGCCAGCATTTCTCAATCTGTGGGTTGCAAAAACATATGAAAGGGTTGCGAACAAACTTTAAAAATGGATTCTCTTCTAAAGGAGAAAAATGAGGGAAACTGGTTTTGTCCTTGCCCACAACTGGCTGCTTGGGGCCCTTATGCCCACACACCCACCCCCTGCCCCACACATTGCGGGTCTGGGGGTAATGGGTTGGGAGTGAAGGGAACTGGGTCTGGACTGGTCATCAATGTTTTTACAAATGGGTCCTGGTACAAAAAAGGTTGAGAACCACTGGTCTAGGGGACTTCTGAGGCAGAAGTTCTGCTGTGAAGCAGAATGAGATGGAGCAACATGGAACAACCGGTTCCTGCAGCTAAATTGAGTTTCCCAGGAAGTGTCCAGCTAAAGGGATTCCTTCTGGGGTTCTGCACCACAGCTGAAAGGCAGGGTGAAGGCTTGCTGAGATAAACCACCTAGGACCACGGCCCTTCAGATGCCTGTCTCAGCTGCTGTGCTGGAACCCAGAGGCAGCTGCAGAAATGAAGCTCGAATCTCCAGGCCTTGCTGCATGCATCCGTCTCTGCTGTCTGAGCAAAGCCACCTCTCTCTTTCTCACCCCCTTGCATCACACTCAGGGTTGTGGGTATTTCATTGAACACTCACAGAAATGTTTTCTGCTGCTTTATCTAGGACACTCCCACATCAGAGGAGCTGGAGCAGTTTGCCAAGGACCTCAAACACAAGCGCATCACATTGGGGTTCACACAGGCTGACGTAGGGTTGGCTTTGGGGACTCTCTACGGTGAGCGTCAGCCCTTTCCTCCTCTCTCTTGGGCCCCTCTGGTGTTTCTAGGGTTGTCTGGGTGGAAAGATGATACATCTAGGGTAAGGGAAGGCAGGAGCAGTCGCGTTCCTCTCAAAAAGGGGCAGCTTCCTCCCCAGTTTGACAGTCAGAGCCCTGTAAATACCCTGAGGACTCAGCCTGATGCTTTAGCCAGTACTTCTGAAGCAGCTGAGGGTAATCTTTTAATTGTCACTAAATGTTTTCTGAGAGGTGTCCTAGTACCTGATCCCCCTGGTGTGACTTGATTTCCTCCCCAGTAGACGGTGGAAGATAACAAAACTCTGTGGGGTGGCACTAGGGACTGCCAGAACCCACCGGGGGGTAGGGAGGGACCTCGGCTGCTAGAAGATCTCTCAGTTAAGGAGAGGAGCAGGAGAGACCCCCCCCCCCTTTCCATACCAGGGTACAAGGTAAGGGAGCAGATGACCATGGCCTGTCCCAGAGGTGGGGAGCCCAGCTGCACAGGTTCAGATGGGGATTTCCCAGATTTAGCAGCAGCCTCAGCATCATGGATGCTCCATAGCTAGGTCATAGTGTGTGTGTGTGGGGGGGGGGGGGGGGGTCTTTTTCCCTTGATAGTCCTCCACCTTTACCTGTGCAGGTTAGGGTGTTGTCTTGTAGGTGTGTCAGGGTTGACAGTAGTTCTATTTCTAGATTGGATAGTGGATTTGTACAGGGTGGATAGAGATGATCCTGCCTCTGGGGGGTTGGACTAGATGAGCTCTAGAGCACAGGTTCTCAAACTGGTCCGTGACCACCACTGGTCCATGAGCTCCATTGAGGTGGTCCGCAGAAAGGTGACCTAAGGCTAAAGCTGACAAACATTATATTCGACTTCCCAAAACTTTGCTCAAAAAAAATCCATTGCACTAGAAAGGTTAAGACTACTGATATTAAAATATGAGTTTTGTGCTTTGATTTGTAGAACAAAAAAAGTTTTAAGTGGTCTGCCAAGGCCCTTGGCAATTTTCAAGTGGTCCATGAAAAACAAAGTTTGAGAACCACTGCTTTAGAGGGTCCTTCCAGACCTAATTTTATGATTCTAAGCTTGGAATGAGGGATGGGCCTGGCAACTTGTTCCTCCCCTGCTGTATGAGTTACTTCCCTCTTCCATGCTCCCCCAGGGAAGATGTTCAGCCAGACAACCATCTGCCGCTTTGAAGCTCTCCAGCTGAGCTTCAAGAACATGTGCAAGCTGAAGCCCCTGCTGCAGCGCTGGCTCAACGAGGCTGAAAACAATGACAATCTGCAAGAGGTAAGTGGGGGTCAGGAGGGACAGGATTAGGGCTGCTGTCTTGTCCCAATGGTCAAGACCCACTGCAACAGAGCTGAGGGCAGAGAGTGTTCCAGTGGTGTGGCCTTTCCGTTCCACTTTGATTCATAGATTGTAACGCTTGGAAAATCAGCGAGTCCAGCCCTGTGCATCAGGCAGGAAAGACAGGTGGGGTCAGGTGACCCCAGCAAGGTGACTGTCTAATCTCCTCTTGAAGATTTCCAGGGTAGGTGATTGCACCACCTCTGGAGGGAGCTTATTCCACAGTCTGGACACCCTGACTGCAAAGGAGTGTTTCCTAATGTTGAGCCTGAATCAATCTTCCAGGAGTTTGTGGCCATTACTCCTGGTTTTCCCTTTGGGTGCCCTGATGAACAGTTGCCGCTTGAGTGACCCCTGGTACCTGTACTGTGGGGAGTGCACACCTGACCTCCCCTTCTCCCTTGTCTTCCCCTCTGACCTGAAATCCCAGGATAAATCTTTTGCCTCTGTCAGGTCCAATGGCCAGCCCTATGAGGAGAGGCTGAGGGACCTGAATCTCTTCAGTCTCCCGCAAGAGGAGACTGAGGGGGGAATCTTGTGGCTGCCTACAACCTTATCAGGGGCCACCAGCAGGGACTCGGGAAAAGTCTGTTCACCAGGGCCCCCCTTGGAGTCACCAGGAACAATGGCCACAAGCTGAGGGAGGACAGGTTTAGGTTAGATATTAGGAAGAACTACTTCACGGTAAGGGTGGCCAGAGCCTGGAATAGGCTTCCCAGAGAGGTGGTGCTCTCACCTTCCCTGGAAATCTTCAAGAGGAGACTGGATGGGCACCTGGCTGGGGTATTATGACCCCTGCCACCCCCAGTGCTCCTTCTTGTCCATGGCAGGGGGTCGGACTAGATGATCTGTCTAGGTCCCTTCCCACGCATTGATTCTATGAAGCTGCAGCAAAGTCTGTTAAGGTGGAATATCGGGAAAAACTTTCACTGTTAGTACAGTGAGGCAAATGAATGGACTGTCTAGAGAAGCTGTTGAATCTGTCTCGCTGGAGAGGCTCAGGAAGAGGTTGGATAAGCCTTGGTCAGGCTGCCTGCCTGCTGTGGGCTCAGGTAGGGCCGGCTCCCGCTGCAGCGTGCACTCCTGAGGGGCAGAGGGGACCCGCATCCGAGATCTGTGGGGGGCAGGGGCAGGGTGTGTGCACACTGCAGGATCATGCTCCCCACCCTGCTGCCCTCCAGATCGCAGCACGTACAACCTGGCGCAGCAGCACACAGGGGGACGTGCACAAAAGCTGCCTGCTGCTGTGAGCTCTGTGCTGCCAGGCAGGGGCAGCAGCGAGGGGCACAACCCTGCACTGCCCCCATGCACACAGAGGAACCATGGCCAGGGCAGCTTTTCTGCACAGCTCTGCCATGCCAGTTGCACATGCTGCGATCTGGAGGACCTGGGGGAGGGCAGCAGGGTGTCCAGCTACCTGGAACTCTCCCTGCCCCTGGCCAGAGAGTGCCCAAGCTGGCTGGGGGCTGAAGGAGCGGGTAGGCTGCAAACCCCCTGCCTCTTCCTGGTCAGAGTGCCCAGCCAGCTGCAAACCTCCCCATTCTGTCAGCCCCCAACCAGCTTGGGCACTCTGGCTGGGAGCGGGGGAGATTCGTAGTCCCTTGGGTACTCCGGCTGGGTGTGGCGGGGGCGGGTTTGCAGCCTCCCCACTCCCTCAGCGCCCCGCCAGCTTGGGCGCTCCCCAGCTGGACACTCCAGCTGAGAGAGGGGATTTGAAGCTGGCTGGGCGTGGCAGGGGTTTGCAGCCATCCGGACACTCCAGCCAGGAGCAGGAAGGCTGCAAACCCCTCCCAGCCAGAGTGCCTGGCCAACTGCAAACCTCCCTGCAAGCCCCACTTTTCTCCAAGAAGAGTGAGCCTGAAGCAGCCTCCGGTAAAGTCGATGCTCGCACCCCACCCTTCCCCCCCCCCTTCCCTTCCGGGCAGGGTTTGGGGGGTTTCCTTGCCCCTTTGCAAACAGCTTTTGCAGGGTGGAACTCAGCTAGCCTGAAGAGCTCTTTGCAAAAAGGGGGGAATCTGGGTTTCTCTGCTAAAAGAGAAAATCTGTGTTTACTCTGATTAAAAATGGGAAATCCATGGCTTTCTCTGTTTTGTTTTGTTTTTTGTTTTTTTTCCATGGGAAATGGAAAACCTGGATCCCTGCTGATCACCATGCTAGGGGTTGAGAAGGAATTTTACCCCATGGTCAGTTTGGTACGTCCTGGGGGATTTGCCTTCCTCTGTAGTCAGGGGAGGCAAGGGCATGGTCCTGTTCCTGGGGTGTCTCAAGGTCATTTTAACAGATCTTTTGCTAAGAGGCTACACAATGGATTTGGATAGGGTAGCTTCAATTGGGGTGATCCTGCCTTGGGGAGGGAGTTGGGCTAGATGACCCCTGGAGGGCCTTTCCAATACACTTTTCTGATTTCTAGGTCAGAGGGCTGGAGTGGAGTAAAGGGGCTCTGAAAGTCCTGGTTTCAGCTGGGGAGGAATCCCTTCCCATACAGGCAGACCTGGGTCCAGCTGTGAAGCTGCCTTCTGAGTCCATTGTACCCCCCAGGACAGGAGGTCATGCTAAGGTGCATGACTGCACAAAGCAGCACTGCAGAGATTTTGGAGTATGCTATGGCCCATAGGGCTGCCTTGAAGGTTTCCAACCTAGCAGCTGATTTCAGAGACCCCAGACCCTGTAAACTCAGCTGGGACTGATGACCCAGTTCCTTTGGTGCCTCAGCTGATGCCATCTGGTCCTGCTGATGCTTGGTCCTTGACCAGCAACTCCTAGTAGATCTTCCTTTAGCATTGCAGCCACTGGCACTACCTCAACCTTGCTACCTCAGAGCAGGTCTCAGGTAGGGATCTCCCTAATGCCTTCTGCAATAAGGACTAATGCAATATCTTCTTTAATTGCCTGCTGCTTAGCCCATGCCTTCTCATGCTGGCTTCCTCCTCTGATATGCTTAAAAAATACCTGGCTAAATTCCCCGTTTGCCACCTGCCTCCCCCCACCTCTCATAGGTGGGCTGATGTGACATATTTTATAATCCATCTGTAATTTTTGAACTGCTCTTTCCCTGGCCTCAGGGTGTCTTGTGCTGTTTGTGGTGGGGGGTGGAGGGGTTGGAGAGAGAGAGAGTCTCTCCTGGAGGAAGCAGAACAAGTGAAATCTTCTAGTGTCTTCTGCAACAGCTGATAGCTCTTTTTCATTGGAAACTTGCCCCCTGCAAGCCAACCAGTAAGTACCAGTGTTGCCCTAGGTGGTCAGAGAGGGGCCTTTGTGGCAGTGTGCTCAACAAACTTGACCAAATGGTAGGGCAAATCTTTTGGCAAGCTGTTGCTTTGTCATATAAGACTGGTCACCAATCTACCTCCACTTAGCTGAGCACTGCTTGGCATTAGCCTGGGCTTGGGAAGAGCATTGCTCTATGGGTCCCTCTAACGAAGTGCCAAGGTTCCTGTGGGTTCTTCTCTCTTGCCCTCTCCATTGCTTTTCCAGCTGTGCAATGCAGAGCAAGTGCTGGCCCAGGCCCGGAAGAGGAAACGCAGGACCAGCATCGAGACCAACGTCAAGGGGACCCTAGAGAGCTTCTTCCGCAAGTGTGTCAAGCCAAGTCCCCAAGAGATCTCGCAGATTGCAGAGGATCTTAACCTGGATAAAGATGTAGGTTTGGCCTTGGGGCAAAAGGTGGTTCAGAAGAAGTCTTGGTGAAATTCAATACACGGCCATAAGAACATGGCAGGAGCTCAGTGTCAGCGCAGATGCTGCAGTCCCAGATGCAGAGGGAGTGTGCTGGGGGATTGCTTGTTAGTTAGATGATCACCCTCTCAATAGATCCTGGTAGGTGGAATTTAGGCCCAGGACTGTCCCAGTAACTGGTGGCACCTGCTGATAGCCATTTGGAGACAGTCATAGTGCAGCCCATGCAGAGATCCAGTGTAAAGAGCCTAGTGCAGAGGGCTCTCTGGCAGTTAGTCTGAGCTCTCCAGCTTGCACTGTTGAGCCAGGGTGGCGGATGCTTCAGGCCAGGACTTCAGGGTGGAAGTGAAGGAAAGTAGGCAACTTCCCAATGGAGAATGGGTCTAAGCTCCCTCTGTTTTGTTCACCTTGCTGGCTCCAGGGAGGAATGCATGTAACTCAAGGGGCTGATCCATTTCTATTTCCCCTACCCCCCCAGGTGGTTCGGGTCTGGTTCTGCAACCGGCGCCAGAAGGGCAAGCGGCTGCTGCTGCCCTTTGGCAATGAGAATGAGGCAGGGATGTACGACGTGAACCAAGCCATGCCTGCCCCAGTGACGAGCCAAGGCTATGCTGTGGCGCCCCTGGCCTCTCCTCCACCCATCTACATGCCGACTTTCCACAAAGGCGAGATCTTCTCTCAAGCTCTGCAACCCGGGGTCTCCATGGGGAACAATGGCAACTGAACGGGGGTGGGGAG